AAAGAAAGAAACAGTCCTTTGGCATTGAAAGGTGGGCAGGGTTCCGATGGGCAGAGCTGGTATGCAGAGCTGTGGCAAGCGTGCTTTGGGTGAGACAGTGCACGTTCTACTGCCTTCAGCTATGTGACCTCTGGCCTCTGAGTTCCTTCATCTGTAAAATGGACCTTACAGCTCCCTGGCGACAGGACTGTAGTGGCCGTGGCATGGAAGCAGTGAGAATCTGTCTGTGGCAGGCACAGTGGGCACCTGTTGTATGTGTGTCATGGCAGCAGGTGTGAGGAGCTAAAGCCTAGTGACAGAGGCCTGGACGACAGACTCAGGGGGCATTGGGTAGCCCCTGACCCACTACAGCACTACTAGGATGCTCCAGCTCCCTCCCCCAATGGTCTATGGGTATGTCAGAGCTCTGGCTGATATCCTGCTCTACAAGATGAGCCTGGGGCCTCCCCTAGAGGGACAATTCAAAGCTGCACTTTTTCCTCCTGGCCAGCCGGCCTTGGCTTCCACCTAGGCCCAGGACCCTCGGTCTGGCTGTCCCCCATGTCTGGATTCCTCCCACTGACAACCCCCAGCTTGGTGAGGTCAGGGAACATGTATTTCAGGAATGTGGGAGGCAGGGCAGCCAGCCTGGTGTGGATAACCATCAGGGTAAATATTTGCCTTGCTCCTGGAGCCAGCCCTGGCCACCGGGGGAGGATGAGGGGCCTGTTCCCAGGGTCATGTAAGGGGAGGCTTCCCTGGGCGAATCTCCGAGGTGGGGGACCCATGTCTCCCCAGTGAACCTGGGAGCTCCATCAGAGGCCATCCTCCCTGTGCAGGGCCAGAAACTGGGTCCCTGGCCCCTCGCCTGCAGGACGGATGTTTGCCCATCTGTAAAATGGGGATAGGAAGTGTTGCTCAGGCCAGCTCGGGTGAGGAGGGTCAGTACTATGGGAGCTGGTCCAGATCAGTTAGCCAGTGGGGCAGCAGGTTGGACCCAGTTTGGATAGGTGACCATGTTCCACTTGGCCACTTATGACCTTGAGCAATTACCCCTTCCCCAAACTTCAACAGTCACCATTCACTGACTGTTCCTTCCTATGTGACACCTGTATCCAGGCACCCATGTCTCATTAAGTCCTCACAGTCACAAGGGCATAAGGGGGACATGTGTATGATTACCCCTGAACTCTAGCTCATGGTGCCATTGCCATGGCTCCCTGCCCTACAGACCACATTGGGGCAGTCCAGCCCTTCCTCCTAGTGGCTGTGGGTAGCTCAATGTCATGATCAGGCTCTACAAGGTTAGCCTGAATCCTCCTCTGGTAGGTGAGTAGCTGGAGGTGTGATTAGTCTGTGTTTAGAAAGGACATAGGGCTCAGAGATACCCGGTGACTTACCCAAAGTCACCCAGCATTAAACAGCAAAGCAGAGATTCAAACCCATCTCTACCCATCCTTGCCCTTAATCTCACCGCTGAGGACAGGGTCAGGGCTTCAGCCCAGAATGTGGGTGCCCAAACCCTGGTGGTTGTAAGAGCAACCAGTCCACTTAGCCACAGGCTTAGAGCCACAGGCACTGGACCTACATGGTGTCACACCCGGATATGCTGTGGCATGGGTACCCCTGTGCACAGTCCCTGATCAGCCCTTGCATCTCTCTGGGCCAGCCCCAGCCCCAGACAGCTTGTCCTCCCAGAAGACCCCTAGAGAAAGGCAGGAATGGGAATGTGGGTGTGGTTGGGAGAGAGCATCAGGGTCTCGGGACAGTGCCCACCGAATGACCTCTGAATCCCAGAGCCAGCCTTGTCACTCTCCACCTTGACACCTCTGGCAACCCTATCCTCAGAGCTCAGTTTCCTGCTCTGCTAAGTGGGCACCCATTACTGTCCTGCCCTGTTCCCAGGAGCTGCAGACACACGAGGAAGCAGGCAGGTTTCAGCCTGCAGTCGGCACACCTCCTCTTTCTGCCCTCACAGTCAGAAGCTGCCCTGTGGTCAGGGCCTCACCCCTCCCACCCCAGCCCTGGAGTGAGAGTGCTGGGCTGAGGACACCACAGGGGCTCTCTGGGCAGCAGGGACTCATCCCCGGGGAGACTGGGTGGGCCTCACCTCCTCCACTCAGCCCCAAGCCTCAGTACCCCACTTCCTGGCGCCAAGTGTCTTTTAAGCAGCTATTGCTTCCCTAGGTGGACCTGCCTTGTCTGCAGTTGTGCTCCGGTCAGGCTGGGGGCAGGCATGGAGACGCGTGATCTGTCTTGGGCCTTCTCCTCTCCCTGGCCCCACCAGGTGGCCAAAGCTGCACGGGCTGTGAGCCTGACCTGGGGGACCTGTGGGGCTGGGGGAGGAGGTGGACACTATCTCCTCTGTGTTCAGAGCCCTGCCTGGATCTGGGTCACCCATCCACTGTGAGGGGACCAGCACAGTGGCAGGGGAGCATGGGTGCCAGCACTGTCTGCCTCTGAGCAGGGCTCTGAGCAGCTCCCAGGCTGGTCTTCTGGTAGTGGGCAGAGTGTGAGTGAGGGCAGACCTCCTGCTCACATCCTGCCCCCGTCCTTACTATTGGCTACTCCTCACTACTACTCGTGGCTTATGTAACTGTGCGACCTGAGCAAGTTAGGGAATCTCTCTGGGCCTCACATGTAAACTGTGGTTGCTAGATTCGTTTCTGCCTCACAGTATTTCACCAACAGTTAAAGAAATATCCCAGCCATAGCCCCCAGTATGGACTCATTAAGGTGAGCCTCCCAGTCCTCTTTCTTTCCCAGGTGGGGGTCCAATGCAAGCTCATAGGGAAGGGAGGTCAGTCCCCAGCGAGGGCCCAGGCTCATACTGGGGCCCCCACTGTGCGGTGCCCTCTCTATATGAAATTGCACCAGAAGGTCTCTTCTTTGTGCCCCTTTGTGTAAGTCTACCACCAAAGACCCAGGGTGGCCGGGGCCGTGAGGCGCACACGTGTGCACCGTGAGCCAGAGAACTGCTGAGGCAGGATGGGCGGGTGGCCTTCCTTGGGACCTGGAGTGAGTGAGTGAGCACTTTCTGGCACTAGCTTCTGTCTCAGCTGCCAAAATAATTATTTTCTCCTTGTCAGTGGGTATGTGGGCCAGCCTCCCTTTGGGAAAGGCCTGAGCTGTGGGCAGTGGTGAAGCAGAAGGCTGATTCCAGTTCTACCCTAGTCACGGACTTGCTGTGTAACCTCAGGCCCTCTCCAGGCCTTAGTTTCCTCCCCTGTGAAATGGGGAGTCAGAGTCAGCAACCACAGGCCAATTGTGTCCCATGGCAAGCACAGTGGGGTGGCCAGAGCCAAAGGGCTGGGGCATGGAGACATTCTCTTTCCCATGCTGGGCTGGGGGTACCAGGCCCGGCTGTGGAAACTTGGGGATTAGGAGCCCAGCACTCCACAGAGCCGAGCACCAGCCTCTGCAAGGGAATTTATACATCAGCTGACATCCTGGAAAGCTACATGCATGTTCCACTTATGGGCACTACCTCATCCAGTCTGTACAGCTCTTTGGAGGAGATCCCTCATTATCCCCATATCCTTTCCCAGAGATGAGAAAACTGAGGCACAGAGAGGTAAGAAATTCCCCAAAGCCACACACTTGTTAGGAGGGTGAAACCAGGACTTGAACTGGAACCTTCTTATTACTGAGCCCACATGTCGAACACCAGGCCCTGGTGCCTCTTTTTGAAGTCGCAGGTACCCACTTCTCTCCCTGGGAGACTCTACCTGCTGCCCAGTGAGGTGGGGCCTGGCTGCTGTCCCTGGCATGTGGGAGCCCATGTTTAATGTGGCATATGTATTCCCCCCGGTAGCCACAGGCCTCGTTCCCAGAGACACTCAGCCATGCACTGAGGCTGGCCATTTCTCAGAGGAGGGCACACAGGTGCAGGGAACATGGCGACTGCCCAGGGCCACCCAGCAAGGCACCTTCATAGCTCAAACTCGAACCTGGGGCTCTGAGGTTCCCACCCTGCAGCCAGGACTCCAGAGGAACCCAGCTTCTGGCCTTTGGCTCTGGTCCTCTGGGATTCCCGGGGGGCCCCGTGGGTAGTGGAATGAAGCCAGGAGTATCAGGGGCCCACTGAGGAGATGGGCCAGCTGGCTCCTGCCCAACAAGGATGATCATGTCCCCGCATACCCAGGGCACCAGCAGGTCCTGCTGCTCTGCCTCCTGGTCTCCCCAACTCCTCCTGTCCCTTCTGAGCACTCTCCCCCAGCACCCTTGGGGGTCTTCTCAAAATGGAACTCGGGTCATGTCAGTCAGCTGCTCATACCCGCCTGTGGTTCCCATTCTCCTCTCAATGGCTGGCCCTGCCTCCTGGCCCCCATGCACCCTACTCCCTCCCTCCCTCCCTCCTCACACCTGCCTCACCACCCACTCAAGTTCTCCACTGAGTCAGGCTTTTTTCCCTATCTTGGAGTCTTCACATATACTCCTCCCTCTGCTTGGAATCCTGTGCCACACATTTGGCCTACCTCACTCTGGCTCATCCTTCAACTTTGTGTCCCTGAAGAGGCCCCTTTGAGCCTCGGCTCTACGCTGCATATCCCTTATTCTAATTCTTTCTGGCAGGTGCCACTTTAATCATGTATCATTTGGTTATCAGAGTCACCACAAGGGCAGGGATCACTATCCTGTTTGCAGCTCAGGGTTTGTGTTGATGTTTCATGAGGGAATGAATGAATGCTGAGTGCTTTTGTCACCATGTGTCTTTAGGCCCTCTCAGTAACCCTGAGAGAGAGATATCATGATCCCATTTGACAGATGAGGACACTGAAACCCAGAGAGGCCAGAAACATCTGCATACTCAAATGGCAGGTGTGGGACGTCAGGGGCCCGCCTGTGTTGTGATGCCCCTTGTCTCTCAGTCCTTCAGACACCCCATCTGTCAAGTGGGGATACTTTGGTTTGCTGGCCATAAATGGTCCGGCAAGCAGGCGGGTGGGCTATCTATGGCAGCACTGTCAACTCTGGGGCCCTGCTGCAAGCAGACTGCTGACCTCCCCTTCTCATCACAGCAGGATGGAGCTGGAGTGAGGCCGAGGGGCTGAGCTGCTGATCGCCCTGCGAGACGCTGGGGATTCTCAGGCCACGGAGGTAGGTGTGCACCAAGGCAGGCGGGGAGGAGCAGCTTGGCCCGGATACTTGGGGAAGGGTAGGCATGTCCTGAGTAGGGGACAGGTGCTCTCCCCAGTACACTGTGCGTTTCACTGGAGTCTCACCCTAAGGGGCGGGTTGGGTGTGGCTACTCCTGCTGACACCTTGCCAGCCCCCCTGAAGGACTGCCAGGGCAAGGGGTGGGTGGTGCACCTGGGAAGGGGGCAGCTTTGGTATCCCCAGCCTTGGCACAGCAGCCCTGTCCACACTCTGAACCACGTGGTGCATGGACACTATGCCCTGAGCAACATGGTGGAGCTGGGTGCCTGGGTGAGCACAGAGGCCTATTCTCTGAAATGGTGCTGGGACTACCCCATCCCTGTGTCTCCCACAAACACACTGAGGTGTACACATGAACACTCACAAGTCTCTCGGCTCTGGGGTCAGAGTGCCAACACTGAGACCCTGGCTCTGCCTGTCTTCCATGATCTTGTATGGTTTCTCTGTGCCTCAATTTCCCTATCTATAAAGGTCGGCTGGGATCGCAGCACCTGCCACCTAGGTGCACCAGCATTCCTGGCATCAGTAAGCACTCAGAGAGCTATGTCAGCATTATTGTCAAGGATGCTGGGACCCTCCCTTCTTCCGGCACACCCAGTTTCTACCATTCCTTCCTGCCTCGGCACCCACCAATGCCAAGATGGACAGGAACTAGTTGTCATGCCTGGTGAGAGGGCTTGGGCCCCTCATGGAGCTCCGGACAGTGGCTGGAGCCACAAGGTCCTGAGAATGAGCCTCCTGGGCCTGCACCTGGCCTGGACACCAGAGTGTCTCATCACAGAGTCGCATTTCAGGGTTGACCACACTTGGCCCTGTGCCAGAGGATGACCTGTGTAATCCCTCTTTACTTTGTGCCTCTCAACCCAGAGATGAGAGGCCTTCACATAAATGCTGCCTGAGCCAGGGCCCTTTGTCCCAAGGCTGGGCTCCAGCTGGGGAAGCCAGTCTTCCCCCTGGCCCCAGGACTTGCCTTATCTCCCCTCTGCTGCCCTCAGCTCTTCTCCTCAGGCCCCTGTGCTCCCAGATGCCCAGGTGCAAGGCCAGGCAAGCCCTGGGGTTTTTCTAGGCTTGTCGGTCTCTGGAACCAGGGAGCAGGGTAGATCTTCCTTCCCACTGCAGGAAATCGGGCTCCTTGCTATCAGCTGCGTGACCTTGGGCTAGTGCCTTCACTGCTGTTAAGAGTCTGTGGTCTCATCTGAAAATGAGGATAATTATGCCAGCATTGCTGAGAGCACTGTTGTGGGGATGCTTAGAAGCTAGAGTATTTTTAACTGTTACAGCTTGGTGAGAGTCTACAGTATACCAGGCACTATGCTCCTTAAATTCATATTTCTCCCTACAGTAATCCCATGAGGAGGTGTGTTTAATGCCTCATTCTCCAGAGGCTCAAAGTGGTTAAGAAACCCATAGAGCTGTAAGTGGTGGAGTGGGGATTTGAACCCAGGTACCTTGGAATGAAGCAGCACATAGTGCCTTACAGACCAGGGGCGGGGCCATGGGGCAGGCTCAGGATAGGTGCTCAGGAAACAACCTCCATTTCTGCTTTACAGCTTTTGCCCAGCTCTCCAAGCCGGGCTGCCCTCAGGAGCCAGAGGGTGGCCCCCAGAGGCTGGTGGCCTGCCCCTCCCAGGAGGGCCTGCTGGCAGCTCAGTTGGCAAGGGGAACCCACTGCTGTGTGTGAGGTGACCTTTGAAATTATCCTTCATGGCGGGTTCTCTTTTCGGATGTTTTTCAAGGTAATTCATTCCCTTTCCAGAAATTGCCAGTGGTGGAGCATTAGGCAGCTGGTAATTAATCATAGGAGTGGCTTAGAGTTTGTTCTTTTAAAAAAAAGAAGAACAGAAAGCCTTGGTGGAAAAGAAAAGAAAACCTCTGCAAAGCAAGGGTGGTAATCAATACCTAGTGTCCTAGAAACAGCTGGGGTTGGGGACAGAGGACATGCAGACTTCTCCCTTTCTTCCCGGGGCTGGCCGATGGTCAGCGCCTGCAGCAGCATATCTGAGGCTCTACCCTTAACTGCCAGCTCCCTGTGTGACTCTCAGCAAGTCACTGCATCTCCCTGGACTCGGCTTTGCCACCTGTAAAATGGGTGAAGGGCAGATGTCAGGGGAAAAAAGAGTATTAAACGATATACTTGTTCACTCCACATCCTGGTGTCTTGTGTTTGCCCAGTTGACATTTTGTTCATTGAGGGAGTGAATGAATGAATGATTTTCTTGGATACAAGCTAGCTATCAAGGAGGTGGTATTGGCTACAGGACATTGTTTCTCTAACTCTGTTACAATTCAGAGAGACTGTCAGGGGAATGGGCCAGTCTGTCACTTTACAAACTAATGGTGAAAGAACACTCTTGCCCAGTAGACTCTGGCCAGCAGAGCTTGGGCCCCTCAGTGGTGACCTCACTGTCTCCCTGGCATCCTCAACTTCAACTTTCCAACAGTCTAAACTGTCCATAGAGTTTTGTTAAAGCTGCCTTCTGGGAAGGTAGTGAGTTCCTCATCACTAAAAGTATGCATGCCAGGGTTGGGGCTACACAGGGCACTAAGGCAGCAAACTGGGAGGGTGGGGCTCAGAGCATTCCTGAGTTTAGGAGAAGCACGAGGCTCTCCAGGATGGACGTGGGTGGAGAGGGAAGCCTGTCCCCTCCAGAGCCCCTTCCCGGAGCCCCCTGGGGAGTACAGGAGAGGGCCACTGAGAAGGGAGTTGTTTATGCAGCACACCTGTGCGTGGGGCCTGTACCCCTGGAGGGAAGGAGGGTGTGTGTGTGTCTCTCTCTTTCTGTCTCTGTTTGCCATCATGTGGCTGTCTCTGTCTCTTTCTGTTTGGCTCTCTGTGCCTGCCCCCCTTGCTTCCCAGCTCCCCTGTCTTCTCACACCCAGCAGGCCCACTCTGCCTCCTCAGCTGCTGCTCTCTCCCCTGTCCTGTCATGTCTGTGGCTCCCCCTCAAGCCTGGCTCTGGAATTTCCCCTGAGCCTGGGACCTGCTCTCTGCTCTCCTTTCCCTCAGGGACACTCCTAGCTCCTAGCCAGGTGTCCTAGTGGCAAGTCTACTCTGTGTCATGGCCTCTGTCATCACCAGGACTCGGCAGAACTGAGACTTCCCCGGCTCCCAGCCTGCTGCCCTTCACTTGTTTATTCAGCTCTGGGAACACACTCCTCCCTCCCGCTGTGCTCCTTGGAGGTGTTTGAGGCAGTGCCCCACACTTGAGGCCACATGGAGCCTACACGCTGCATGTAGCCAAGCGCTGGGCCAGGCACCATCCCATCCCCGTGGACCCACCATGCCATCCACTTTGGATGGAGTCCAATCTCCCAGCTCAAGGAGACCTGCCCAGGTGGCTACCCTATACTGTCTGGGGCATGTGGGCCGCTAGCCACAGGCTAAAGCAGGGAAGCAAGAAGGCCTGTGTCCACTCAAAGGAGTTGTTGGAAACCAGCATTTCCCTCCAACACTAACAAAATTCCTTCTATAATTAGAAGTGAGGTGTCCAGGAGCTGGCTGCCTTGCAGGAGCCAGTGTATACTCACGAATAAATAAATTGTCCTTTCCTGAGGGGAGGAGGAGCCAGAGGGTGTCCTCCCAGAGATCTGCTGGCCTGGGGAGTCTCAGTGGGGCCTGGTGGCCAGATGCCCCCACTCAGCTGATGCCTTCAGGGAGCTACCTCGGCTTCCAGTGCCTGGCGAGCCAGTCTTCCTAAGAGTGCCTGCCATGTGCCCAGCCCACTCAGGTCGGCATTCAGAGCTGCTGCCATCTGCCCCAGCCTTCTTTCACAGCCACATCACACCCTAGCCGTCTGCCAGGGCCCCTGGCTGTAGCTCCATTGCGCCACCCTGCCCCACCTGAATCACACATCCCACTGATGCACCTTTGCTTCTGTACCTCCTCCTGCCTCAGCAGCCCTCCCCCGTTTTGCTGTATGCTTTAGAAGGCTTGAGCCTTTCGGAGCCTTCCTTAAGCCTGCTTCCTCCATAGGTTGGACATGACCTCCATCCCCCGTGGGCACCATGGCATCCACTTCTCAGAGGCCCTGGTCATCTGCCCCCTGAACTCTCCTGAAGTCTGAACATCTCCTTTGTGCTCTTATGCCCTTCAGAGTGCTTGTCAGACTGCCCGCCGCATCATTTCTCATTTTGTATTGATTACACATTAGAATGATAACATAGTGAGTGTTCTACATTCTTTTTTCCTACTAAGTCTTTGAAGCCTGGTGTATATTTAACACATGCACCACATTTTGGACCCCAGTGTTCAGTTGTGAAATATGGTCCCTGCATTCAACAGCACAGCCTTGGTGGGTCTGCTTTTGTTGTTTGCAGGTGGGGATACTGAGGCTGGGGAAGGCCTGTTGCAGATGAGAGTTTGCAGAAGGAGCGCGTACTCTGTCGGCGAGGCCACCACTGTCCTACAGTTCCAAATAAGGAACTGTAGTACACCGTGCTGGTCATCAAGGTCAATCATGGCAGGTGGGACTGTGGCTAGCACCCAGGCCACTGAGCCTCCACAGAAGTCGAGGGAAGATGATGTGAAGGATTCCATCCCCCCACGGTGGGTTCAGTGCTCCTGGGCTTCCCCACCTAGTCCCAGGCAGCCTCAAGGCAGCTATCACAGGTTGTGCCAAGTGAGGGTCAGTCCTGCCCTGGGTTGCTCCCAGCTTCCTGACAGGGAGCACTCAACCTGGAAAATGGAGCTCGGGGCATCAGAGCGCCCATCTGCTGCTGGAAAGGAGGCTGCCCCATCCTCCACCCCCACCCGCATCAGCCAGGACACAGTCTGAACTGCGTAGATGTCCAAAGGATGTGTCCCTGTGAACCCAGAGGTTTCCCAGGGGATGGGGAGATGCCTGGGGCAAAAATAGCTCCAGGAGGAGAGGGGAAGGGAAGTATCTCCCCCGAGGCTGGCCCTGCTCCCGCCAGCCTGGAGGGGCCTCCAGGGACGAGGT